TTCAGATGGAAAAAAAACACAGAAAGTAATCGGAAGCTGGTAATTGAAAAAAGTAACATTCGATTACCACGAATCGAATATCTTCAAAAAATAATTAATTATAGACAAAAAAGAAGACCGAACCGACCGAGTTATAAACTACACCGATGAGCCCTATGTCGACTCATCACGATGATAGCGACTCGGGTGATGAAAACAGTGATGATGATGATGGTCAAGATTATGATAACGAAAAAAAAATTACAAATACCAGCTTCGCTTCAACTGAACCAAGACCTGGCAACAGCTCTAGTTTTGACTTAATAGAAGGAATATCTATTTCACCCCAAGATTAAATTATTAGCCTATATTTTTTGTTGATGTTCTAATAAATATATAAATAAATACATAATATGTTGATTTTAATAATTTTATAGCATTATGACGCAGAGTAAATAATGTTTTTGCACGTGAGTGTACCATGCGCGAACTTACCCCCACTACGTCGACAAATGCTCAAGAAGTTTGCCGGCTATTATACCTAAAATTTTTATAAATCATACAAGTCTTTATTTGTTATAGACAAATTGATTAAATTTTATCAATTTGTGGTTTCTGAAAATTTACAAAATCTTTCATTAAAAATAAAATAGAGGATAGGTGATATGTTACTGCCATCTACAGGAGCAATGAGAAACTAATCGAAGCGAAGCCATCTAGTGGCCGACGCTTGTAAACATTTTTGTTGAGTGCTTGAGTTGCTTATGTATAACTAATTTATGTGTATTATCTATGAGTAGCTGGTTGGCACTGACGGGGCTGGTCGTGGGCGAGGGTCGGCAGCTCGGCCAGCGGCCGGTACAGCGCGTAGTCCGCGAAGTGAGGGTCGGGAGTCGCGCCCTGGACGTAGCCCGCGCTCAGCAGCGCCTGGCACACGCTCGTCGCCTGGGCTCTAGGAACAAATGACGATCCACCTACAGTTTTTTTATTTTTTGCTGGGATGTATGGATGAGCTCACCGGTGTTAAGTGATTACCGGAGCCCATAGACATCGACAACGTAAATGCCGCCACCCATCTGCTGCACGCATACTGCTTCACGGCAGAAATAGGCAGGGTGGTGGTACCTATCTGTGCGGACTCACAAGACGTCCTACCATCACTAAAATCATAAATACATCATCTACATTAATATACAAGTGTCCAACTTTAGAGGTGCTGTATATTTTATATCAATAAACTTTTGTCTGCAGTCAATATGCTGAAATAGCTGCATTGAGCCGACAGCTACTGAGCTCACCAATCAAGACGTGCGAACTATCTTGCCTCACATCAACCTCACAATCGTCACACTATGTTGGCTATGTTGGCTATTGTATCTAATGATTAATATCGAATGTTTACCTCGTTTTATTACTGGTGTTGTCCATGATCCATTGCATTATGTCGCATCCGCGCCACACTCCGTTGTAGCGTACTAATCGATATCTGAAAGTTTCAACGTTTTTACTGTCAATAAAAGCCAGAAACTGTTTTACCTCCTACCCATCAAACCTCCTTCGAAACATATATAGTCTCGTAATTATGTGTTTTTTTACAATAAAGAATGTTATCCAATGGAATTGTCCAACATAAAATTTAATTCACTTAACCTTTGCATGCATTCAATACATATTTTGCCTGTATCTCGCTGTGTGGGGTCAGCGCTCGGTCAGAATATCCTCGTTTTCCATTTTGGCTGATAATATATCATGTCTTCACTCATAGCCTTCTCTCACATATCCCCTTTCACACAGTCCAAATCTCATTAAGATGACCGATCCTCACATTATTGTTACATTTATATTACAGTCACATTCTCATTACATTATAATACTATTTAAATAATGAAGTTAACTTTAACTAAAACAAAACAACAGTGATCGCAGCACACATTATAGCAACAACTAATTGTGTAAAATAATGGTTCAACTATGCTCTATTCATTGCCACCATTCATAAAATTAAATGATGATAGTCACTCATAATATCCTCAATTGCTTTTGAAGGCTATAGGCATTGTTTTTAAATTTTTAAGACGCTGATGATGCATATGTCATTTACACAAGTGGTGGTAAGAATAAAAATTTACTGTCTTACCTATGTTGTTGTGTAGGCAACGTAAAAGATAATTGCCTGAATATATCATGCAAGGACTCCTTCTGAGTTGTACGTGGTTCCGTACGTTCCTCCTGCTCGTGAGAGAACATGAAATGTTCACGGGTCTTGTTCAACTGCTGCCCTTTGTGTTCTGGGAACTTCATCTGTAATTGTATATGTGAAAATGTTCAATTTAGATCATCAGTCACATTTACAAGGTTCAACAAGTTTCCTTCAAAACAGATTAGACTCTTGAATTTATAGTTCGAGTTAAAAAAAACTGTGATATTCAAGATCATGAAGGACACACACACATTTAAATAAATTGATTCCCAATTATTAGAATGAACAAACCTGCAGATTTTCCTGCAGTGTTCTCAAATCAGGTGATATATCTCCAGTGAGATCATTCTCTTTCAAATAGCTGAGCACAACGTTACAACAGTAGTTACAAACTCGGAGACCACCAGCACATCCGAATATATGGCCTAAAATTATTGTAAGGGTTGTTTTGATTATTAATTGATAATATATTTTTATATAACTGTTGTGTTTTGTCAGTTACTTATTGTACACTATTTAACAGGAGTTTAATGTCACACGAAAATTAAATAATTTGCAAAATGAAAACTTTAATCTGTCAATATTATGTATCTATTTTTTGGCTTATTATTATTATGACGCTATGATCGTTTTAAATTCGTACATGTCACATGATAATGAGAGCTAAATTAAGTACTATTACTGTTATACATACTTGAATACTCTGACAGTAGCAATTAAGAATTAGATTTATTAAATAATCTGAGTGTTCTCTGTAGGCCTTTTTTGTAAAGTTATTTCATAAATCTACCTGGAACTCTTTGACTGCAGCACCTGGAGCAAAAAATCTGTCCACAGACTCTGCAATGGTGGCGTCTTCTCAAAGCACTGAATCTGGTTGCACACTCATAGCATTCACGAGAAATATCATCTGGCATCCAGTATCGGGCTAGTTCAGTGTCTGCATATCTTGTGCCGTTCTGGAGGTAGAATTGGTATCTTATAATGATAAAATGGATTTGGTTCACAATATAAATATGGAAATCATTTCCATGCAGAGTGAAGAATTATCAATAGATAAATAAATATATTTTACTCATAAGTTATGTAGTCAACGACAATGTAGTTTTTTTTTTAATTGCTAGATGGGTGGACTAGCTCACAGCCAACCTGGTGTTACGTGGTTACTGGAGCCCATAGACATTTATAACATAAATGCCGTCACCCACCTTGAGATATTAGTTCTAAGGTCTCAGTATAAATAAAACGGCTGCCCCACCCTTCAAACCAAAACGCATTACTGCTTGACGGCAGAAATAGGCGGGGTGGTAGTACCTACCCGAGCGGACTCACAAGAGGTCCTACAACCAGTCACAGTGACAGTTAACAAAAATTACGCTTACACCAGATCCCAGGGCTACTAAGCTTGTTATTCTTCTCAACACATTAGGAAGACTACGCCCCTCCAACTCGAGAGCATATGACCCAGTTTCCGCCTTATTATCGTCATATTCATGTTTAATTTGTTCTGCAGACGCGGTTAAATCTCTATTATCAGCAGCATTTTTATCTTGGGGCACCTCACTAGCCTCACTAGGCGAGAATATCGGAAACTTTAATAGTTTATTGAAAAACGTTGACACACCACTCTGGGTGGATTCGGGCTCAAATCGAGGAAATTCAGTCAGCTGAGACGTGTCGTATTTATCCATTGTAGATATTAAGAGAATTTACAGCAAATAAAAGCATTTAGATTTGTTTATTTACACGCAAGTAACAAATATGCAGATTTGCAGAACAAAACATTAAAATTTGTATTTGTGACATTGTGACACTTGACAGTATTGAAACATATTGTTTTTCTCGTTTGAAAGGACAAAGAAATTAACCTCCTTAGGGAAAGTAGTTGCACAATTGGAGCGAAGACAGATTTTAAGATCAAAGTCATGTGGATTAAAAATTTCTCACGAACAATGTATTTATGTCGTTACTGGAAAAACCTTTTGAAGTTTCGAGTATTATGGGAAACGTGTATGTAAATTTGGTGGTGTACAATAAAGAAGAGCTCGTAACTTATGTTCTCGAAACTTGTTCCCAAAAGAAACCACAAATTAATTTGGTATTTGCCTGAAAGTTTTACCTGACAACTTAATCATGTCAAACGTTTTAATTTAAATTACACGTTTCATTATTTCTATAAAGTCATAACAATTAGTTTAAAGATAATGCTTAATTTGAGAACTTTATTTTAAACCTTATATAGCATTCATTTAGAGGTCATATTCTTTTTGCTTATTTAATTAGGCAAATGAAACAAAAGTAGTTCAGTAGATTCTAATGTTGTATCAACATGTCAAAGGACATTTTGGCGGAAACACGAGGAGCAAAGGTGTCTCAGTTGTTTTAGTTTGTTAATTTAGTGTTTCTTCGAGTTTAAATGTGTAATAAAGATGGTTTATTAACTGCTTAGTATCTGGGAAAGTCCAAAATGTCAGAAAATGAAAAAGAGCCACAGAACGTAGCTTCCTTGGTTCTTCCAAAAAGTTTTAGTAAAACCATCATTTTACTGTGAAACTATTTCATCCCATATCATCTCATTTCGTTTAATTTCTTTTGTTCTTAGTCGAGTTAATGGTTAATGTCTTAAATTAATCAACTTCATTCCATTTCACTCTATGTAATTTTCCATAAAATAGAAAATACAAAAGATGTATGGTGTGATACTTTCGCCTTTCTAGTTGGAAAATAGACTTCAATGATTTGTACTGCTGTCTGCTACTGTCAAAGTGTCAACATTAGTACCGTATATATCAATTTAATGATTTTCTTTCTTAATCAAAACCATTGAAAGATATGTGCCTATCATTATAAAGTTAGAATAATAAAAAGAAAATACGATATAATAAGTTAATTGTATTCAAATATTTTCTTGAATATTATTAATGAAAATATATTATTGACTGTACTTGATTCAATTAAAAGTACTTACAGCCCTTGTTAGTAATAACCATAAAATGAGTGAAGTATCAATTGAAACCGGAGCCTACGCTAAAATAATATTGCACGCCGCTAAGTATCCACACTGTGCTGTGAATGGTGTGCTTCTTGCTGATGCCGGAAAGACTAAGGAAGGTGGCAGGAACCAAAGTTTGGATATCGTTGATGCTATACCACTATTCCACCACAGCCATTACGTCTCACCAATGGCCGAAGTAGCACTCACACAGGTAAGTTATCTAGAACTTTAGTCAAAATTGCCTATGGGAACCTTTTCTTATTTTATATTGCTTTACCATCTGCAAAATAAATGTGTATACTCTCTTCATAATAGCACATAAAAGTTGAACAAAAATATGTATTTACGTTAATAGTAAAAACTCCACAAGGATGCAACATACGAACTAACTTAAAGATGATAAATGCAAGCTAACAAACTTAACATTCATTTAAATATATTGTATTTGATGAACTAAACAGGAACTAACATGAACCTTGTCTGGAACCGATATTTCAGATTGAAACCATAGCTCAATCAGAAAACCGTGTGATAGCAGGTTACTATGCAGCCTGCGAGAACTTCCGTGATAATATTGTTGAAAGATGTCCAGGGTTGAAGATAGCTGAAAAGATTGTTGAGTATTTCCCTTCTGCTGTGTTCATTGTGGTGAGTATACATATAACAGATTAATGTAAATAAAAGTACACTAAATTTCTTATTCATCTTTATTTTACAACAGAAAACCCCGAGTCTGTATGATAAACAGATTAAATGTACTATACCATAATTTATGGTTACTTTATCTAAAAAATAATCAAGGAATGACAATCTGTGGGAATATCTGTTTGGAAACATATCAATATTACAGTAGTAAGATAAAATAGACATCTGTCTGATAAAAATTAGTTAATTGTTTTTACATTACAATCACAGGTGGATAACAAAAAAATGGTTCAACATTTAGATTCACCAGCAATTAAAGTTCATAAATATTCAGATGGCAAATGGAGACCAAGGGAATCTTTAATTGTTTTCCGTAAGTAGCTCAGTGTTTTATTAAACTTTCTGCAGCAGCTGCCCTTTTTTTTTTTTTTATTGTTTAGGTGGGTGGACGAGCTCACAGCCCACCTGGTGTTAAGTGGTTACTGGAGCCCATAGACATCCACAACGTAAATGCGCCACCCACCTTGAGATACAAGTTCTAAGGTCTCAAGTATAGTTACAACGGCTGCCTCACCCTTCAAACCGAAACGCATTACTGCTTCACGGCAGAAATAGGCAGGGTGGTGGTACCCACCTGCGAGAAATCACAGGAGTTCCTACCACCAGCAATTACACAAATTATAATTTTGCGGGTTTCATTTTTATTACACTATGTTATTCCTTCACCGTGGAAGTCAATCGTGAACATTTGTGGAGTACATATTTCATTAGAAAAATTGGTACCCGCCTGCGGGATTAGAACACCGGTGCATCGCTTCAACACGAATGCACCGGACGTCTTATCCGTTAGGCCACGACGACTTGCTCCTAACCTTTTAATTTCTTTTCTATTTATGATAATTATCTACAAGTTATTTATAGCAGTTTTACTTGTATATTTACTTTTTTTTTGTTGAGAATTAGAACAAGTTATAAGATTCAATTGTGTTAATATATCTGTGTAGGCTTGCAGAAGTAGTTAGTGCCACCTGCTCTGGAGCAGCTGTGGAGCAGTAATGCATTTCAGTTTGAAGTGTGAGGCTGTTGTACCAGTTAGTCAGAGGTGGTTGGCCTCATTTATGTTGTCCATGGGCTCTGATAACTACTTTCACCAGGTGGACCATAAGATATACCCATCTAAGCAATAAAGCAAACAAATTGCTTGATTCATTTTGCTTATTCTCTTTAGGACTGTGGCTTCTTTTTAGATCAAGCATAAAGTTTATTTTGTTTTGTTGTATTTGAATATGCATTCAAACTAGGTGTGTTGAATACAATTTGTGTGTTCTTCTGTTTGTAGTGGCATTAAATAATTTTAAAGCATCATTTGTAAAATAGTTTTATGCTAAAATGTGTTGTTTTTAAAATAAAATATTATCTTTGCTACTTCCATCAGGTACCACTGGTTTTTAATGCTAAATTATAACAAAAACAATAATAATAACAATATATTTTAATCATTACATGCCACAAAATGCTGGCTATGTGGTTATCAGCCCAGAATAGCACCACCCTTTTTCTTCCTCAGAGTCTCATAAAACATAAATAAGGTATTCACCTTAATCGCCTTTTATGATTTCTGTCTACCTATTCAGGCAGCTCTAAGAGTATTATATCAACTCTTATGAGCTTCTTCACTATTACAGTTTTTATTTATTTTATAAATACAAAAGAAAGCCCTTTCCCCAGCTCGTGACCATAAATATAGCTTTCTCATTTCAGAATCACCATACGTCCTCGAGACTGTCTCGCATCTTCTTCAAAAAGGTGTAGAGCGTGATCTTGTGGACTTTGATAATTACCTCGATGATCAGAGCCAGGATTGGACCAATCAGGGCATAGAGAAACTAGTGGCGAGCATTAACGCTTCTACCCTCGATGATGATGATGAGAAGGAAATACGATAGTTAAAGTGTCAATGTACATGTATTAGAAGTATCTTATGGGTTATAGGCAATTTAGTATCAATTATATCCTTTCTATGTATGTAATAAAAATCAGACTATTTATCTATGCAATTGTGCATTGATATCGCTCAATGACTGAATCGATTTAAATATGGTATCAGTGATGTGCTGTACTCTTGTTAGTAATTTCATTTATATGTTAATAAAAAAAAAAGAACCTAATGTAACATTCATTACCATAAGAATGGGTACATAATACACATTTTGTGGGTATGAAATTAGGGCCCTGCCTGTTCATAATAATTAATTAAGCATCATGATTATCATTCCTGATTGAAGTACTCCTATTTCATGATTTAATGTTGTATTTACTTTGCCAATGGCATGTTGATTTTTGAAAGACTATATTGAAACAGAGGATTATGAGGAGACAAATCGTTTATTCTTTCTCCGTCCTTGTACTGTCTCGTATGTACCATCTACAAAGCAAGACTTACATATGTATATACACATATATAAGTCGTGCTTGTCAAACAAATTAGTTACCAATAAAAAAAAGTTACGTTGTATGCACTGTATTAGTACATATTCTATTACAAGCAAATAAAAAAAACAATTCACATCTTATTAAAGCTAATCTAATTATTGAAAAACAACTATGATTCGTATCATATTAAATTATTGTATAACATTAAAACAAAATACTATGTTAACTTATTAAAATAATCCTCGACTAGTTTCTTGCATTTATTAACAGCTCCTAAATCACTGGCTTTCCCTTGGAATCTGCCGTTCTTGAAGGCGCCCTTCGCTTTCAGCATCTCCGTTATCCTATAATAATAAATTTTATTCAGAATTATTTAGGGCGAGTTGACCTTTTCAGTATATTATACATTGCAAAAAAATACTGAAATATATTTTGTTTATAATGACTTCTTCTTTACTCTTTTCTTTATATTGCATACGAGCAGACGGTTCACCTAATGGAAAGTTCAACGTCGCCCATGGACAGTAACAGTTCCAGGACCACAGTAAACCTAGTTAGTTTTTTTTTATTGCTTAGATGGGTGGGCGAGGTCACAGCCCATCTGACTGGTCACCGGAGCCCATAGACATCTACATCGTAAAGGCCGCCACCCACTTTGAGACATGAGTTTTAAGGTCTCACTTTTAACAGTACAACGGCTGTGCCGCCCTTAAAACCGAAACGCATTACTGCTTCACGGCAGAAATTGGCGGGGTGGTGGTACCTACCCGTGCGGACTCACAAGACGTCGTATCACCAGTGAAAATCCATTGCTTAATGCTTTTAAAATATTGAAACTTATTCCTGTTTGAATTGACAAAGATAACCATTGTAAAGTGTGCTTCACGTGACCGGTTTTGAATTTGCGAGGGCCCCGCGTGGTCGTGGTGAATTGAATATTCGATTTAAAAAATAATATCTGTCTATCTATCCGCAAATTTTAATTTGCGTAATTACTGGTGGTAGGACCTCTAGTGAGCCCGCGCGGTTAGGTACCACCACTCCGTCTTTTTCTGCCGTGAAGCAGTAATGTGTTTCGGTTTGAAGGGCGGAGTAGCCGTTGTAACTATACTCGACAACTAAGAACTTATATCTCGAGGTGGGAGGCGCATTTACGTCGAAGATGTCTATGGGCTACGGTAACCACTTAAGGCCAAGCGAGCCGTGAGCTCGTCCACCCATCTAAGCAATAAAAAAATAAACAAAATCATAAAATTTACATGTCTCCCAGCGCTTTACAATGCTCCTCCGGTCCTTGAATAATGATCTGCCCTTCCTTCGCCCTATCGGGGTCCTCAGAGACCAGAAGCACGAACATTCCCTCGCCCTCCAGCCCTTTGAGCACGGCCCTGTTAAATTCAGGCGTAGCTTCCCTTTTGAACATAAATACGTATTTCGGTTTTGGTGTTGATCCTTTTATTTTGTTCACTTCGAATTCAGCCAATTCGATGAGAACGTTCTGTAAATTTTTGTTTGTAGTTTTTATGTTTTTTTGCAATTTCTGCACTAGCTCCTCGTGTTTGGTTGGTTCATTTCTGAAAATATATTATGTTTTTGGTTAGTTTACATCACAGTTATCGTCTGTGACAAAATTATCGAGAACGGCTGGACCGATTTGGCTAATTTTGTTCTTGAATTATTTGTGGAAGTCCAGAGAAGGTTTAAAAGGTAGATAAATATGAAAATGCTCGGAATTAAATAAAAATAACAATTTTGTTTTCCTTTGATGTGTCCCCCGTCAGACGGATTCCTTTCGTTTGTTTTTGTTTATTTTATACAAAAGCTTAGGTATTTTAGCTATCGATTAAGGTACTACGAAGTGTGCCGGGTCAGCTAGTAATGAAAAAATAACAACCAAATATGTGCTAATTTCCCTGAAGAAATCAAAGGGCAATACAGCCGTAAGACTGCACACGGAGACTCAAAGATCATGTCGATGTCCACAGGCTCCAGTACCCTTACATCAAGCTGCGAGATTGTTAGTCCAACTTGAGGTGCAAAAAACTTGCCATCTACTCTTAAAAAACATCTACCCTTTTAATACGTAATTTATCATTATATTATACATTGAATAGATAAAGAATATATCGACGTTTGAAAGACAAACGTGACTAAGCGACAATGCGTGGACTTTACAGTAGACTAATTTAAAGTTGAAATACCTGAACACAAAATTTATTTTAACGAATCTAGCTGTAGTGGAATCTAGCTAGTAGCTGTAGGATTGAAATGATTTTAATAGACCTAGAAATATTTTTTTTTGCGCATCGAATATGGTTATTGCCTATCATTTATGTACAAAGCAGTTATTGTCGCTTAGTCACTTTTGCCTTTCAAGCGTCGATGTATATATTTGCATAGACCAATTTATGACATTATAATTGGCCGCAAACTATGTCCGTATGTATGTAGCTTTTTTTTTCTACCTACTGAGAGCCTTGAGAGGATATTTCAGCGTAACCTTAACTAGTAGGTGAGCTCACGGGGCTCAAACCTGACGACGTTGCTAACACGAACCCTAGCATGAGCCGTGCTTCGCAGAACCTACCACCGGATCGGAAACGCGACCCACTGAGAAGATCCGGCGAGAAACTTAGTGGGCTGTGTCTGAGGGTTAATTTACTCGCCGAGCCCTTCGCCGCAAGCGACGGGTTCGACGTGAACGGTGACCGGTGCTTGAGGTACTTAAAGCACCGTTAGTGGATCGGGAGGATCCGAAATTACGTGTTTGGGGCGACGTCGACTGCTTTCCATTCTGTCCACAGGATCGGGAATAGAAATCATCAACTTAAGCGTTGCCCACCTACTGACCATGGCTTGTACACTATATATTTTTTATTAATATAATAATGGAACTTACTTCAAAAGCCCCGTCAAAGCTTTCTCTCTTTCTAGCATGCGCTGAAAGGTTTTCGTCACCCGTTCGCCTACTAAAAATTTTAAATTTGTCTTTCCCTTCTTCCCCGGCTCTGCTCCAATTATTTTTATTATTTGGAGTTGACTGTGAATTAGATGTACAAAAATGTTGTTACATCATTATATATTATTTATATTAAATATTCCTTAACATATTATTACATAAATATAAATAACTGAACAAATCACGGACAATCATCCAGCCGCACATTACCAACCAAAGACTAACATGCATACTTATGTAAGTTTTTAAATATATACATAATATAGACAATAAACACCCAGGCAACGAATTCATCACACGAATGTTTGCCCGATGTGGGAATCGAACCCACGACCCTCAACAGTATAAGACTTCATGGTAGGGCCCTTGCAGACTATTTATTATATGTTTATTATTTTTAGAAAGTTAATGTAATTTCGTCAGTTCAAGCTTAAAGGTAAGCTCTGATTTGGTCCAGATCGGTGCGCCTGGTTCCGCAGATATTTGCTATCCCCTGATATGACCTATCTTCAGGGATACACATAAATTGTGTAGTATTTATAGTGAGACGCATGGCGCTTTTCTTTCACGAAGAGGACGAAAAGATTATAAGCCTTTGATTTGTTAGGATTCTTATCGTTTGTAACAAATCTACTTGGCAGTTTTATAGTGACGATATATAATCAATATTATTATTGTTATTTTCATTACATGTTCATTTAAAGTAAAGTAATTAAGAAATGACGGAAAGATAAAAAAAGAGGGAGTTTGCAGGGAATCCCCTCTTATGGCTTACTTCATCCCTCTTTTGCCTTTTTCTCCTCTCATTTAATGTACAGTAATCATTACTCTTTACATGGCATTCTGTTTATTTTTTCATAATTATTTGATAATTTTACTGGTCTTAAGACGTCTTGTGAGTTCGCACGGGTAGGTACCACCACCTTGCCTATTTCTGCCGTGAAGCAGTAATGCGTTTCGGTTTGAAGGGTGGGGCAGCCGTTGTAACTATACTGATACCTTAGAACTCATATCTCAAGGTGGGTGGCGGCATTTAAGTTGTAGATGTCTATGGGCTCCAGTAACCACTTAACACTAAACAAAACAAAAAAATAAATAAAAAGCAGTGGTCTATACTAATACAACTTGAGTTTGTACCTCAGATTCGAGACATGAGTGCCGCAACACATGTTTTCGTCAATATCACCAATGCATATAATCCGTATAGTTTCCATGCAATCCTTTGGTAGACCTCTTGTGTGAGCCTTGAATAATAATGATGAAATATAATGAATAATAATGAAAAGAGATAATAATAATGATGGATATTATCATTATTATTCTCAAGAACAGGAAAAAAACGTAATTCGTAGCTAAATATTGAAATTATGCATAGATTACAATGAAATTCAAGATAAAGTCGTATTTCCAAGAAGAAGCATTAAAATTCGTTAATTATAAATAATAATATAATAATATTTTACTAATAAAAAAGTTTTTCTTCACAATTGTATTGTTACTACAAGCGCGATCACAATTTGTCAATGTGATAACATATTTTATATTATTGGATGAGCACATCTGATGTTAAGTAGGTGCTGGAGCCAAGAGATATCACAACATAACTGCCACAAGTCATCTTGAGGCATAAGATTAAAATTTCAAGTGCATTTTGGGGATACAGGGGTATGCGTAGTGAAAAACTTAAATGGTCAAATCTTAATTATAATGTGACATCACTATTAATTTGAACGTTCCAAAATTTACTCATTATATCTATACTAATATTATAAAGCTGAAGAGTTTGTTTGTTTGAACGCGCTCATCTCAAGAACTACTGGTCCGATTTGAAAAAATCTTTCAGTTAGATAGCCCATTTATAGAGGAAGGCTATAGGCTATATAACATCACGCTAAGACCAATACAAGCGGAGCACCAATAAAGAATGATTCAAAATCGGGGTTTTATTCCCTTTTGAGAGCTTCCGCTGCGTGCGCTGCGGAAACGGTTGAATAGCTCCTTAACATTCTATTTTTTTTTAAATATTTTCACTTTCTACATAAATGAAGTTGCGGGTAACATTTTGCGTTATACCCAAGGTAACTATTCCACGCGGACGAAGTCACTGGCAAAAGCTAGTCTATACATATAAATAAAATGTCTGTTTGTAATATTGAAATAACCGCTTTTTACTACATGCATATGAATATATATACGGTACATACACCAAAATAACATTTTATACAATTTTTGTCTGTCAGTCTGTCTGTTTGTTCCGGCTAATCTCTGAAACAGCTGGACCGATTTTGATGAGACTTTCACTAATAGGTAGCTGATGATATAAGGAGTAACTTAGGCTACTTTTTTTAGACTAGCTTCGCCCCGCGGCGTCACCCGCAGTTATTGTCGTACCGCGCGCAACATGGCGGGCTTCGCCTATCAATAATAACATTTAATCTTATTTTACAAACCTCATTTAAATCTGGATCATTAGACTTGCAAATCTTCACACTGACCGGTACAGCAGCTCTGATCAGTTCATTACAGTAATTCTCGGTAGCGTTTATTTGCTGTTCAGACACTTTCGTAGAGTCTATCTCGACATAGGACTCGTCTGCACCAAGCCACCAGCTTGTTGTAGGTAGGCTGTGATGCTTCTCCAGTATTGCTGATAATAGATGCTGGCCTGAGAAACCAAGATTTCAAGAATATGCAATCTTGTATTTTAATTAAAAATGTATATTAGCAAATGTAGGAGACACAGTTTGAGTAGCATATGCGGTTGTCGATCGCTGGTTATAGTCAGTCGTACATTGCCCGCCCGACATGGCAGACACTTGTGACAATATACGAAGTAAAATCGGAACTAACTTGTTTTATTTATAAAAGGCAGCTATCACCTTAGATAACGTGCAAACCGTACAGCAAAAACTGAACAATAATACTATCTGTTCGTCAACACCATTAGTCTAATGACATGCATTGCTTGACATAGACGTCCTGTAAGGTTAACCACAGCGGTCAGTCTTGTAGTAGCCTTAAAATTTAAACTATTATTAATAATTCAAACACTTAGGAATCCTACTAATCTTATAAATGCGAATGTTTGGAAGTGAAAGAATGAATTTTGATGAAACTTCACAATAATATAGCTGACACATGAGAATAACACATAGGCTATCATTTATAGAGATATATTGTAAATTACCCAAAATATAATGATAAGTGCCAAGTAAGTAGAAAAAAAATCTGTTGTCTTATTTTCATAATCATTTTCATTCATAATTAATTAAATGTTCCCGAAGGGAAATGAGGCAGAGTATATATTATGGTCTACTTCCTTAAAGGAAAGAAAATTGAATGTTTACCAGAATGCTGCTGCATATGATCAAATCTTCTATTCCAATTGACCTTTTGTTTGACCTCTATACCCACATCTATTGGCTCTCGTGTGAAGTGGAGTGCCTCGTCACCTTTCCGGAGAACTTGCAACACTTCAACATCATTCAACCAGCCGATGTCATGAGGCTGTAATATTAATCAATAACTGCAAATTAATTGATGTGCATTTCAGCTTTTGTAATTAATTTTCCCTTCTATCTCAAATAACTAAAACTCTACAGGTGGTAGGACCTCTTGTGAATCCACACGGGTAGGTACCACCACCCTGCTTATTTTTGCTGTGAAGCAGTAATGCGTTTCAGTTTGAAGGGTGGGGCAGCCGTTGTAATTATACTTGAGACCTAAGAAGTTATATCTCAAGGTGGGTGATGCATTTACGTTGCAGATGTATATGGGCTCCTGTAACCACTTAACACCAGGTGGGCTGTGAGCTTGTCCACCCATCTAAGCAATAAATAAAAAAAGCATGGTGTTACAAGCATTCACAAATAATCATTTGTGAGAGGTTTTAATAAATTTACCTGTCCACCTCCTGCTGGAAAGAGGATAGTGTTTTCTAAAGTAATCTGGAAACCTTCAAATAATGATGTTTTTCCATAATCTACTATTGGTTCTTTGGTTGGCTCACACCGCAGTACTTTAGATTGATACTGAAATTGGATACATTTCACAGTATTATAAAGATCATCATCATACCATAAGGAAAATTTTAATTAAGTTCAAAACATTTCTGTGAAAAATTGTCCCTAAATAATGTAAAATATACTTATTAATTCATATGAAATTATCCCAAGCTTTTCACACAAACAATATGAATGTTATTACTTTTAAAATTAAATTTATTAATTAAATTTAGATTAATTTAAGTACATTAAATTAAAACTTATATTTAATGTTCTAAGTTAATTAAAAAAACTTATTAAATAGATTTGATCATGTATTATGAAATGAAAATGGAAAACATTGTAAGCCGCTTTTTTATTTACTCTTTGATTTTAATGTTATAGAAGATTTTTTAATGTAATTCTGTACACCTTACAAGGATTGGAAGGAACTATTTAATCAATTATATTCACCTCAGTCAGAAAACTATCCTCTTGACATTTGAAAACCATTTTATTTTTCTTTTACTAGTTATTAAATATTTTATGTGATGAAATTAAAATGAATATTGATTAGCAAAATATAAACAAAGATTATAGGTAGATACACATTAGGGCAAAGCCTAAAAATCATAGATATTAGGTTAATATTTAAGTAATAACAATTTAAATTCTTTGTACAAAAAACTAAAATAATTTAAACACACATAAACTGAAAAGCACTTTAGAAAAAAACTAAAATATTTATTTTGAATTTTTGACACAAATCTGTTGCTGCTGTTAGTTTTTTTTGTTTGTTTTCGGCTTTTGGATGTTCGGCTTTTTAGCTTATCCTATTTATTTTGCTACTTTAGCTTATATTGATGTTTTTTTTTTAAATTGCCACTGAAAAAATTTGCTATTGAACTGAGACTGAGAATTCAATGTAGCTTTCGCAAGAATCTGAGAAGCTTTATCTGATGGTTTATTTTAATTTGCATAAACTTGTAACTATAAAACGTGTGGTTATTTTTTTTCTAGCTGTTGGCCTTGAGAGGCTATTTCAGCGTAACCTTAACTAGTAGGTGAGCTCACGGGGCTCAAACCTGACGACGTTGCCAACACGAACCTACCACCGGATCGAAAACGACCCACTGAGAAGATCCGGCGAGAAACTCAGTGGGCTGTGTCTGTGGGTTAATTTTTTCATCGAGCTCTTCGTCACAAGCGACGGGTTCGACGAGAACGATGACCGGTGCTTGAGGTACCTAAAAGCACCGTTAGTGGATCGGGAGGATCCGAAATGACGTGTTTTGGGCGACGTCGACTGCTTTCCATTCTGTCCGCAGGATCGGGAATACGTGTGGTATATAGATACGCTATTATATTAAAAATAAGTCTTAACTATACATATGTAATACGATTCAAAGAATATAAATATTATTAAGAATATGATATAAAAGGAAAACGTCCAAAGAAAGACAACAATAGGAAAATGGTACAGTTGACAACACGTTTCAACGAAAAGAATTTTTATGTCGATTTTATCCTTCAGCAGAGCTAATACAGTAAAGTCGTTTATGTTAATAGGCTCAAATAATTTGTTTTAAGCAAAACTGGAATTAAATAGCCTCGGAGTAAAATAATAGGCGTATCAGTAGCTAAGAATTTATTTGGCAAAAACTTGATACAATGAACAAAAACAGATAGGGAGCTTTCATGTAGGGTCTTTTCAATTAAACATGCTCATTTAGTATTTATAGTCTCATTCAGCTTAAAAAGCCTTTAACATGTTTTTTCTCCTCTCCTATTTTTATCACTCTATCTGTCATTCTTCGTCTTCTTTTCGACTTCCTCATAATGAGTTGAAGTCTTTCTACCTAGATGTGGTAATGGCCTATAAAGAGACCCTACAGTAAACGGTTCTAAACCGACTATTACTACATATTTGCTACATACATACATTTACTACACATACGCGCTCTTGATTATGATAAAAACAAACTTCAAAAACATTCAATTTATTTCAAAACTTTTTAATAAAAACCGATTAGGGTTAGGACTTTATTTCAGTAACTATATATTTCCTAAATATTCAAACAACTTAAAACAATGTATATTGTACAAAAATAAAAACTTCCAAACGGGCAAGGATTTCTATTACACACTTAGTTGACAACTTTTTTGATCGCATCATTGATGATCGAAATGCCGAAGTCGACGTCCTGTTTAGTGATGCACATTGGAGGTTTTATTCTGAATACCTGGAACAAGTAATAATTTCTAATTACTATCGATATCTTTAGGACCGATCGTTGTGGTGAGGCTTGGAGGAGGCCTATGTCCAACTGTAAGCCTCTGTGGGCTGGCAAAATAGAAGCGATATTTTTAAGTAAATCAATTTTAGCGTCGTTACTAATTTAGAAGTATTTTCTTACGAGCTTACGGTACAGTTAAAGGCAAGATGTAGGGATTTTTTTTTAATTTGTCGTTAACTTTAGGTATTTTATTTTCATGGCGCTATTTGTTTGGACGAGGTTGGACGCCATACACCCGCACAGATAGGCCATACACTACTATATGAATTCCACCACCTATTTTAAGGGTCGGAGACTCAATTGTATTGTGTGGTCCTTAAATTCGAATGTATATATGACTACTTCGAAACAGATTAATAGACAACATCGTAATGCGTACACATGCACGCATACATTCACAATGTATAGGTATAGCCTATCATCAGTTATATGTATATTAGTTTAATTTTCTTAATTCAGTGCTTTTACAGCGTCAAACATTTAAAAATGGCGGTATAAATACGGTTTAATGACTGTAAAAGTTTACAAGTGTTACGAAATGGAATAAAATCACTAGACATAAGATTTCGGATACTTCCCAAATCTGAATTGAGGACTGAGGTGTCACAATTATTATTTTTCTATGATGTATGACAATTATAATTGTTCAGTTAGGCTAAAAGAGCGAATGGTTGCAAATAAATTTCTTTTTAAAAATATGTACGAAGCTTTGAAGTTTGAAATTTTAATTTCAATACCTACCTACCTTACTAAACACCTTTCGTCAACATTATGATGGATAATGGATTAATAGGGTTGTGTACAAAACATTATCGCATATAATCCTTTAAAGATCTGAATTGTCGCTGTTAATAATAAACTCACGTTATTAAAGCGTCCACCACGAGCGATGAGCACTCCGTTGTCTTTGATATTCTCATGGATATCATTCACTTTGGAAGTGGTCAGCGGGGTCTTAGTTCCGGGTTCGACAAGCTCCACTCCGATCATGAGGCCTTGTCCCCTGACATCGCCAATCACTGGGTGTTGCTTCTGAAGATCCATCAACTGCCTGATGAAGTACTCGCCGACTACCTTACTGTTCTGTTGCAGCCCTTCCTCTTCAATAACCTGGCAGATCAGAAATATAGTTGGTGGATTTTAAGCGACGTATATAATTCTCTCAATGTCCAGTGGGAGATATATTTACAAAACTAATAAAAAGTTTGTTAAACACTAAGGGCTAGGATTAATGAGACAAAAGTGAATTGAAAAAAGTAATTTGAATTGGCTTATAGCTCTGATTTTTTTTACTGTTTTAGATTTTTTATAGGAAACACATTAGGCGATTGTTGGTATAATAAATTCACTTTGTATCGCGTTCTTGCATATTGACATTGATGTATGTGCAATTTTTTTTAATTTATCGTTACTTTTGAGATTTACACACAAATATAATTTCATAAAACTTTTAATCAAAGACAATTTTTAGTTCTTTGATTTTTCTATTTCGAGGCAAAAGGAAAGTAGTTAAAATACCTATATTGTTTTCAAAACATTACCTCCAGTACAGCTTTTCCAACGGTAGAAGCCATCGGGTTTCCACCGAAAGTGTTAAAGTAGGCAGCCTTCGCGTGATTGGCTGCTATCTCTTTAGTGGTGACGACAGCTGCCAGAGGGAATCCGTTGCCGATCCCCTTAGCCATCGTCACGATGTCGGGCTTCACGCCGTGCGTCTCGAAGCCCCAGAAATGATCTCCAGTGCGACCGAAGCCTGTTTGTACCTGAACAATGATGTACAAAGCTATAAATTAGATATAAAGTACAGCTATAGGCAGAAACAAAACTGCTACAGTACCCGGCGCGTAGTAGTATCGTCGAGAATGTAAATCCTGTGCATCAACGAATTTTAAATTAGGTTTTCGTGGAGTGCCAGATGAGAGATATGACTGATATTATATAAAGCACAAAATAAAAAAATAAACTGTCTTTATCAAAAAATGAATATTGGTTGATAAGCCTTAGTTTTACATCTATGTGTTAATTTATTATGATCTCTCACCTCATCAGCTACATATAAGCCACCATTCTTCTTGATCAACTCTTGAGCTTTCTTCAGGTATCCCTTAGGGAATTGCACGACTCCACCAGCACCCTGAATGGATTCCGCAAAGAATGCCGCTACTCTGCCGGCCGGAACTGAGTTACCTAATAACTGAAGAGCAACCAAATAATTTATTATAGATGCATATTTAGTGTTAGGAAAGGCAGTAGGGGCTACCTTTACGTCTAATCGTCCAAAAACTGCACTGGTATAATTTTAATATTTCTAATACATATATTATTATTTAATTATTACTTATACACATAATACTGATATTATTAATAATAATACTATTTGATAATATTATAATGTTATGTATTTGTATTTGATATTATACTACAAATGTTGTATTACAAGTAGAGCTGAGGAACATCTCTGCGAAGCATTTATAATGAAAATTATAACAAAAAAAAAAAAAACAATAATATTAGAAAATGAAAAGAACTGAAATAAAATTTAAAGAATATTTCAAAGGCTAAATTAACTATAAAATATTGCCCACTGAGTTTCGCGCCGGATCTTCTCAGTGGTTCGCGATTCTGATCTGGGGGTAGGTTCTGCGAAGCACTGCTCTTGCTAGGGCTAGTGTTAGCAAATTATTTCAGGTTGAGCCCGTGAGCTCACCTACCCGTCCGGGCGTAGTTGGAATAGCCTCTTAGGATACTAGCGAATAGGTAGGGAAAAAGGTCAAAATACAAAAGTACCGCATTGTAACGAAATTACGTAGTAATTGTGCTACCGAAATAATAATAAAATACAAAAAAAAAAAAGTGTGTGTGTCCGCTCCGACGCACGACTGGAGTTTACTGGATATAAAAAATTAAACGAAACAATACGAGAAATAGTTCTATATTACGACAACACGATACACTACAGATTATTAACAAATTAACGAGACACAAAACAAACGACTAACAAATATATGAAAATACAATAATGAGAGAAACGCGCGATNGAAAATTTAAGTAAAACAATAAAAATGTTTTGTGATATATTTGTAACATACCCTTTCGATTGTATAGACCATAAAGAAAAATTGACACACTATTTTGAAGACAGTGTAATTAATGTAATTATTTATAGCTGGTGCAGGTCAATTAATAGAATATTAAGTGGTAAGCTGACATATGAAGGTGATGATGAGATGAAAGTCTTAGCTCAAAACTATTTTAATAAAAATCGACACAAAAAAATAAATAAATAAACTGTTTCGTTTGAGAATTCTTTGTTTTAATCATAAGACCTTGTACCTGTCGTCGGCTAACCATGTTAAACTGCTAAGTCCACTATTTTCGTAAAGATTTTGATGAGAAAAAATATCATCAAAATCTTTACTAATAGGTGGACTTAACAGGTTAACATGTTTAGTCTGCAATAATAACATTATACATACTTTATTGTATATATAGAGCTATACGTATATATAGATAGCGGATTAGTACAAGAGCGGTGTAATAGATGGCACTGTCGACTGGTTCCCCGAAAACATCCTAAGAGGGCTCTCTATTAAGTTATATATAATCTTACTCTATGAGTCAGTCGTACATAACCCGCCCGACATGGCAGACACTTGTGACAATATACGGAGTAAAATCGGAACTAAATTGTTTTATTTATAAAGGGCTGCCTTAAATAACCTGCAAACGGTACAGCAAAAACTGAACAATAATACTATCTGTTCGTCAACACCCATTAGTCTAATGACATGCATTGCTTGACATAGACGTCCTGTAAGGTTAACCACAGCGGTCAGTCTTGTAGTCAAATAACTTTAGCTTGAAAATTAATAACTTATTTACCTTAAAAGTTAAACTATTATTAATAATTCAAACACTTAAGGATCCTACTAATATTATAAATGCGAAAGTTTGGAAGTGAAAGAATGGATTTTGCTGAAACTTTACAATAATATAGCTGACACATGAGAATAACACATAGGCTATCATTTATAAAGATATATTGTAAATTACCTAAAATATAATAATAAGTGTCAAGTAAGTAGGAAAAAATCTTTTGTCTTATTTTCAGAATCATTTTCATTTATAATAAATTAAATGTTTCCGAAGCGAAGTAAGGCTGAGTATAAGTCACGCTTGAAAGGCAAACGTGACTAAGCGACAATAACTGCTTTGTACATAAATGATAGGCAATAACCATATTCGATGCGCAAAAAAAAAAAAAATTCTAGGTCTATTAAAATCATTTCAATCCTACAGCTACTAGCTAGATTCTACTACGGCTAGTTTCGTTAAAATAAATTTTGTTTTCAGGTATTTCAACTTAAAATTAGTCTTCTGTAAAATTCACGCAATGTTGCTTAGTCACGTTTGCCTTTCAAGCGTCGATATGGTCTATGGCCTACTTCCCTAAAAGAAAGAAAATTTAATGTTTACCAGAGTGCTGCTGCATATGATCAAATCTTCTATTCCAATTGACCTTTTGTTTGACCTCTATACCCACATCTAAGGGCTCTCGTGTGAAGTGCAGTGCCTCATCACCTTTCCGGAGAACTTGCAACACTTCAACATCATTCAACCAGCCGATGTCATGAGGCTGTAATATTAATTAATAACTGGAAATTAATTGTAGTGCATTTCAGCTTTTGTAGTTATTTTTTACTTTCTATTTCAAATAACTAAAACTCTACAGGTGGTAGGACCTCTTGTGAGTCCACATGGGTAGGTACCACCACCCTGCCTATTTTTGCTGTGAATCAGTAATGCATTTTGGTTTGAAGGGTGGGGCAGCTGTTGTAACTATACTTGAGACCTTAGAACTTATATCTGAGTCGACTATTATCAAAGCCGGCAATCTGACTTTTGGACAATGATTGGTAAATCAGAAAAACGAATTATTGACTTTGTATTCCATTGGCAGTCACAAAACTTTTCGGAACGACATCTTAGATAAATAACAGGTTAACTATTAACCTTTATTTAATGCAGGTTTTGAACCGTATTCTTTGAAGGAGACGATTATATTCAAATCAATCTGTATTGACATATCAATAAAAAACTTTTGTCCAAATGCACAGATTGCCACCTTTGATAATAGACGACTCATCTCTAGATGGGTGGCACATTTACGTTGTAGATATCTGTGGGCTCCAGTAACCATTTAACACCAGGTGGGCTGTGAGCTTGTCCACCCATCTAAGCAATAAAAAAAAAGCATGGTATGACAAGCATTCACAAATAATCATTTGTGAAGTTGAGGTTTTATGGTAATAGTATGAGGTAAATTTACCTGTCCACCTCCTGCTGGAAAGAGGATAGTGTTTTCTAAAGTAATCTGGAAACCTTCAAATAATGATGTTTTTCCATAATCTAGTATCGGTTCTTTGGTTGGCTCACACCGCAGTACTTTAGATTGATACTGAAATTGGATACATTTCACAGTATTATAAAGATCATCATCATACAATAAGGAAAAACATTTCTGTGAAAAATTGACCCTAAATAATGTAAAATGTACTTATTAATTAATATGAAATTATCCCAAGCTTTTGACACAAACAATATGAATGTTATTACTTTTAAAATTAAATTTATTAATTAAATTTAGATTAATTTACATTAAAATAAAACTTATATTTAATGTTCTAAGTTAATTAAAAAAACTTATATAAATAGATTTGATAATGTATTATGAAATGAAAATGGAAAAATTACGAATTTGAAACATTGTAAGCCGCTTTTTTATTTACTCTTTGATTTTAATGTTATAGAAGATTTTTTAATGTAATTCTATTATGTACAGCCTACAAGGATTGGAAGGAACTATTTAATCAATTATATTCACCTCAGTCAGAAAACTATCCTCTTGACATTTGAAAACCATTTTATTTTTATTTTACTAGTTATTAAATATTTTATGTGATGAAATTAAAATGAATATTGATTAGCAAAATATAAACAAAGATTATAGGTAGATACACATTAGGGCAAAGCCTAAAAATCATAGATATTAGGTTAATATTTAAGTAATAACAATTTATATTCTTTGTACAAAAAACTAAAACAATTTAAACACACATAAACTGAAAAGCACTTTAAAAAAATACTAAAATATTTATTTTGAATTTTTGACACAAATCTGTTGCTGCTGTTAGTTTTTTTTTGTTTGTTTTCGGAATTTGGATGTTCGGCTTTTTAGCTTATCCTATTTATTTTGCTACTTTAAAAAATTTGCAATTGAACTGAGACTGAGAATTCAATGTACCTTTTGCAAGAATCTGAGAAGCTTTGTCTGATGGTTTATTTTAATTTGCATAAACTTGTAACTATAATACGTGTGGTTATTTTTTTCCTACCCAAGCTGATAGCCTTGAGAGGCTATTCCAGCGTAACCTTAACTAAGTAGTAGGTGAGCTCATGGGGCTTAAACCTGACGACGTTGCCAACACGAACCTACCACCGGATCGGAAACGCGACCCACTGAGAAGATCCGGCGAGAAACTCAGTGGGCTGTGTCTGTGGCCTGTGGGTCAATTTACTCGTCGAGCTCTTCGTCACAAGCGACGGTTTCGACGAGAACGATGACCGGTGCTTGAGGTACCTAAAAGCACCGTTAGTGGATCGGGAGGATCCGAAATGACGTGTTTTGGGCGACGGGCAGGATCGGGAATACGTGTGGTAAATAGATACGCTATTATATTAAAAATAAGTCTTAACTATACATATGTAATACGATTCAAAGAATATAAATATTATTAAGAATATGATATAAAAGGAAAACGTCCAAAGAAAGACAAGAATAGGAAAATGGTACAGTTAACAAAACGTTTCAACGAAAGGAATTTTTATGTCGATTTTATCCTCCAGCAGAGCTAATATAGTAAAGTCGTATATGTTAATAGGCTCAAATCATTTGTTTTAAGCAAAACTGGAATTAAATAGCCTCGGAGTAAAATAATAAGCGTATCAGTAGCTAAGAATTTACTTGGCAAAAACTTGATACAATGAACAAAAACAGACAGGGAGCTTTCATGTAGGGTATCTTCAATTAAACATGCTCATTTAGTATTTATAGTCTCATTCATATTAAAAAAGCCTATAACATGTTTTTTCTCCTCTCCTATTTTTATCACTCTATCTGTCATTCTTCGTTTTCTTTTCGACTTCCTCCTAATGAGTTGAAGTCTTTCTACCTAGATGTGGTAATGGCCTATAAAGAGACCCTACAGTAAACGGTTCTAAACCCACTATTACTACATATTTGCTACATACATACATTTACTACACATACGCGCTCTTGATTAAGATAAAAACAAACTTCAAAAACATTCAATTTATTTCAATTTTTTTTAATAAAAAACAGATTAGAGTTAGTACTTTATTTCAGTAACTATATTATATTTCCTAAATATTCAAACAACTTAAAACAATGTACATTGTACAAAAATAAAAACTTTCAAACGGGCAAGGATTTATAGTACACACTTAGTTGACAACTTTTTTGATCGCGTCATTGATGATCGAAATGCCGAAGTCGACGTCTTGTTTTGTGATGCACATTGGAGGTTTTATTCTGAATACCTGAAACAAGTAATAATGTCTAATTACTATCGATATCTTTAGGACCGATCGTTGTGGTGAGGCTTGGGGGAGGCATATGTCCAACTGTAAGCGTCTGTGGGCTGACAAAATAGAAGCGATATTTTTAAGTAAATCAATTTTAACATCGTTACCATATAAATTTAAAGGTATTTTCTTACGGGTATACTGTACAGTTAAAGGCAAGATGTAGGGTTTTTTTTAGTTCGTTGTTAACTTTATTTTATTTTCATGGCGCTATTTGTTTGGACGAGGTTGGACGTCATACACACGCACAGATAGGCCATAGGCCCATACACCACTATATTATGAATTCCACCACCTATTTTGAGACATGAAGTCGGAGACTCAATTATATTCTGTGACCTATAAATTCGAACGTACGTATGACTACTTCGCAACAGATTAATAGACAAATTGGTAATTGACGTACAGGTGCATGATCACATAGCTCACTATGTGTTTAGTCTATCTCCAGTTATATGTTTAATAATTTTATTTTGCTAATACAGTGTGTTTACAGCGTCAACCATTTAAAAATGGCGGTCTATATATGGTTTAATGACTGTAAAAGTTCACAAGTGTAACGAAACGGAATAAAACCACTAGACATAAGATTTCTGATAGTTCCCAAACCTGAGATGTCAGATATATTTTTTTCTATTATGACAATTGCAATTGCTCAGTTGTCGCTGTTAATAATAGACTCACGTTATTAAAGCGTCCACCACGAGCGATGAGCACTCCGTTGTCCTTGATATTCTCATGGATATCATTCACTTTGGAAGTGGTCAGCGGGGTCTTAGTTCCGGGTTCGACAAGCTCCACTCCGATCATGAGGCCTTGTCCCCTGACATCGCCAATCACTGGGTGCTGCTTCTGAAGATCCATCAACTGCCTGATGAAGTACTCGCCGACTACCTTACTGTTCTGTTGCAGTCCTTCTTCTTCAATAACCTGTCAGATTAGAAATACAGTTGGTGAATTTTAAGCGATTCATAAAATTCTTTCAATGTGCAGTGGGATACACGTTTACAAAACGAATGAAAAAAATAATTTGAATAGGCTCATACAGCTCTGAGACATAGGCGTTTTATTGTTTAGGTATTATAGGTATAGGTATATACCTACATAAGGCGACGGTTGGTATAATACACTTTGTATCGCGTTCTTGCATATTGACATTGATGTATGTACAATTTTTTTTAATTGACCTATAATATCTATCATTACTTTTGAGATTCACACACAAGTATAATATAATTTCATAAAAATTTTAATCAAAAACAATTTTTAATTCTCTGATTTTTCTATTTCGAGGCAAAAGGAAAGTAGTTAAAATACCTATATTGTTTTCAAAACATTACCTCCAATACAGCTTTTCCAACGGTCGAAGCCATCGGGTTTCCACCGAAAGTGTTAAAGTAGGCAGCATTCGCGTGATTGGCTGCTATCTCTTTAGTGGTGACGACGGCTGCCAGAGGGAATCCGTTGCCTATCCCCTTGGCCATCGTCACGATATCGGGCTTCACGCCGTGCGTCTCGAAGCCCCAAAAATGATCTCCAGTACGACCGAAGCCTGTTTGTACCTGAACAATGATGTACAAAGCTATGAATGATATATACAGTACAGCTACAGACAGAAACAAAACTGTTACAGTACCCGGCGCGTAGTAGTATCGAGAATGTAAATCCTGTGCATCAACGGATTTTAAATTGGGTTTTCATGAAGTGACAGATTAGAGATATGACTGATATTATATAAAGCACAAAATAAAAATTAAACTGTCTTTATCAAAAAATGGATGTTGGTTGATAAGCCTTAGTTTTACATCTATGTGTTAATTTATTATGAACTCTCACCTCATCAGCTACATACAAGCCACCATTCTTCTTGATCAACTCTTGAGCTTTCTTCAGGTATCCCTTAGGGAATTGCACGACTCCACCAGCACCCTGAATGGATTCCGCAAAGAATGCCGCTACTCTGCCGGCCGGAACTGAGTTACCTAATAGCTGAAGAGCAACCAAATAATTTATTATAGATGCATATATTTTAGTGTTAGGAAAGGCAGTAGGGGCTACCTTTATGTCTAATAGTCCAAAAACTACACTGGTATAATTTTAATATTTGTAATATATTATTATTTAATTATGACATATACACATATTACTGATATTATTAATAATAATACTATATAATATATAATAATATTATAATGTTATTTGTATTTGATATTATACTAAAAATGTTGTATTACAAGTAGAGCTGAGGAACATCTCTGCGAAGCATTTATAATGAAAATTATAACAAAAAAAAAAACAATAATATTAGAAAATGAAAAGAACTAAAATAAAATATATAGAATATTAGAAAGGCTGAATTAACTATAAAATATTGCCCACTGAGTTTCGCGCCGGATCTTCTCAGTGGTTTGCGATTCTGATCTAGGGGTAGGTTCTGCGAAGCACTCCTCTTGCTAGGGCTAGTGTTAGCAAATTCTTTCAGGTTGAGCCCGTGAGCTCACCTACCCGTCCGGGCGTAGTTGGAATAGCCTCTAAGGCTACTAGCGAATAGGTAGGGAAAAAAAGTTCAAAACACAAAAGTACCGCATTGTAACGAAATTACGTGGTAATTGTCCTACCGAAATAATAATAAAATACAAAAAAAAGTCGGTTTCAAGAGCATTAAATCAGAATATCATCAATGTAGTTTAAGACAATTCAATAATAGCCAATTAAGGATAACTCAAAATATACTGGTCGGATCTAGATAGCATTTCAATGGCTAAATGAGAAGAACCAGCATTCAAGTCAATCATTAGAAGAATCACCAATCGGTTTACCTCTTTTTTTAAGACTGCATACATACCTTTTCATTTCAAATCCTTTTTTTTTGTTAACTAAGTGAGCGAGCAAAGGCTCTGCCAGGAATTTCAAATCTCTATAATAACAATAGTTTACGAATAAGCTTACAATATAACACAAATATAGCAACAGCAAAAGCACAAACTCGTTATTGCTATCTAATTATAGCAGTTGCTTATGTAATGTCTGCGTACCTCGTTAAGTTGGTGGACATATTTGTCAGTGCTGATGCACTCTCCGGTGCACGAGCAGGATCCTGGAGCTTGCGAGATAGAGTCCCTGCAGCCTCCGAAAGCGCCTCTGAAAGGATCAGGGTGGACTGCCTGTTGAGAAAATTGTTGTATTCTTTTTAGAAATGGCGTTTTATTTAATAAATAAAAAAAATATATAAAAAATCGGTTGTCTGTAAAGTCGATTTACTGACGATAGTTGAACGTGACAACGTCATAAGAAAATACGCCTCAGAGCGAGGTAACGCCGCATGAGTCATGTTTTTTCGTGCGTGCAGCCTTCTCCATCGAATTATAAGTCGTTGTCACGTCAAAAAAAGAACATTCGATATTCAGTGAGAAACTTAATCATATTGCACCTAAATCTTTAATGAACAAAATTCCGGCCAATATTCAACAACGTTCACGTTTATTTAACAATAATAAGCTAGATGTATTGTAAGAACCTTCGTCTTAAACGCTTCACGTGTAGTGGCGTTTAAGACGAAGGTTCGAGAACTGTTTCTCAGAGAGTTAGCAGAGTCATCTAATTGATAATATTTGTTTATATATGTTTTTATATGTATATATTTATGTATATCTATATATTTACGTATGTGTATTTATTTAAGTACGAGTATCTATAAATATTATGTATCTTATATATACACATATGTTTAAGTAATATCACCTTCACACTACACCTACCAAGCTTTATCTCTGCACTCCCCTAAGGTAGACTGTAAGTTAATTCCAATTTGAGGTCTTACGTGGTAGAAACCTGGAGGGACGGGAATGGCCATCCTGTACGACTGGGTCGCCGTCAGGCCCATGAGGCTGCTGGTGTAGCCGTGGTAGCTGGTCTGCAGCGATATGATGTCTAGGTTTCCAGTGTACGCTTTCGCCAGCAAAGTCGCCAGTTCATTAGCTTCTGATCCACTGTTCACTAAATATACCACCTGGAAGAATTGGCTTGATGAACGATCTGTTTAACTTTAGTTTGATCGCCGGCAAGAATATCTCAGAGACTCAGATAATTGCCCTCTAGTACGTATCTGATATCATTAAAAATTTTAGTTTTGTAAAGATTATTTTTTATACAATTAATGAATTAGTTATATTTTTCAAACTTGAGTTGCCTCTTGATTTCTTCAGCATAAAATTTGGAATACAAAGTTAAAAAAGGCAATGTCGATAAGTAAAAAATATTAAAAAAAGTATGTCTCTACTTTTTCACTACACAGATAAGGATAGCCTTTATTAACAATCTAAAAAAAATCTAGGTTACATTTTTCCATCTTATTTTAATAACAAAAGTTTGCTATTAAAAACCTAAATATGGAAGTATACACATATGATCTAGTTTTCTTATTCGACATCGCTTTTTTGATCGTCTTGGTTTACAACATAGGCCTCCTAAGACTTCTTATATAAAGCTCTCGCTTCGGAACCCTAACTAATTCCCAAATTATTATTTTTAAATATCAAAATAAGAAAAATACTGTTGACCGCTTAACATTGATGAAAGTAAATTCTCAAAGACCGTTATCGTTTATAATTATTTTGTTGTTTATTTATTGAACGAACTGTGACTTAGTTTATTTAAAATGACAGTTTTTCTGAGATAATTAAGTCGACCTTCAAAGAGGATTCCCGTAGATAAGTTCTTTGTAAGACTAAAGCGCATTTTAAGATTCATATGATACGAGATCCTAAAAGGATTTTCGGGCTGTCCTCTCAAGTGCTTAAAGCAAAAAATAGAATCTTAAATGATTAAATTTTAAATCTCACTTAGATAACACTCAAAGTCTAGGTGATTAATAGCTTGTCGAATAACATTTCTTTCATTGGCGTGTGTCTTTATTGTTCTTTTTATTAAGACGTATAAAGCCGTAACTATCTATCCTAATATTATTAATTCAATAGCATTTTATAGTATTAGCTACATTGGATAGGCCCGCAGCCTACGGATACGAACTCTCCCACCCAAAGACATTAGATTGAAATTATAATTTGTCTTGGTACTGAAACAAACAGGTTAAGGACCGGAGCGGTCCCTGTGGGTGGATACTATTAGGTACTTTACCAAAACAAAATTCCAAAGGTCCCTTGGGACCGCCGCAACTCACCTGCCTAGAACACTATCCCTGACCGCATGTTTTCTATTGTATACTATATATAAGAAACGCGGACCGCCATGGCACATCTAGACTAGTAGCTATAACATATTGAAGGGGGACTATTCGATTCGACAATATAATTGCATAATCAAAAAACTAAAAGTAGGAATAGCTTATTTGAGTAATTCTCTATCCATATGAATTTAGTAACTTTTGTCAAAAATCGCTAAAAATCTCGGTCCTTAACCTGTTAAAGATTTTTTTTTGTTATTAAACTAAATAATATTTATTTCCATTGTTGATTTTTGTTGTACGATGTTTTTCCTTGTTCGGATCTTAAATTAAAAAAAAAGTTATTAGATAGCGGAATTTGAACATTGGTATAGATAGACGTTATGCTTGATACCCGACGTCTTATCTTTTAGGTCAAAATGTCCATTGTCATATGGCGGACAGCTGTGCACTTTAGCTGCGATAATCACCGCCAGTGCGAGGTCGTCAACACTTGTAGTATAATAAAAACTGTTTTTTTTTTGTTAATTACTTATTAAATCAATAATCAATCGTGTTGTTTTTATAATATTGTTTTTGTTAATTGTGCACAATGCGTTCGCGAAAGGTGATGTCAAAGACGAAGGTCAACTGAATAGTTTCATTGAACTACGTATTACAAATGTCATTGCAGCAAACCACCTAGATAATAATACATTTTGTAAATAATTTTGTTTCTTTTGTTATTTCGTGATTAATCAAATTATCTCACATTATTCACTTTTAAAACTGTATGAGGGTTACATTTTGAGTTCGAGACATTTTCTCGGATTAACTTTGTCTATAGAAGTAATTGCTCTATTTATTCTGTAGTAAGTACTCTATTTATTCTGTCATCGATAATAAAACTTTATAAATCAGTCACTATCGACTTTGGGCCCAGTTATTAGTTCCATATACTAGTATTCAAGTCAGCATAGATTGGCCTAATTATTCTCCTTATTTCTGCTGTGAAGAAGTGTAAAGTTCTGGTCCAAAACGACAGCTGATCTACAGTACAACGGAGATGTTGCGAGTAACCATTATAGAACACAAGATATTTGACAGTTCCTGAATCTCGCTAACGACAATTTAAAGATAAGCTTGCTTAAATACAAGTTCCAAGCAAATAACATTAGGACCGTCGGTCTACCGAGCAATATCATCCGCTCGATGGGAGATCTTGCCATTTTCGCTACTCTGTTTTACCTACCTATTCGCTGGTAGCCTCAAGGGGCTATCCCAGCTACGTACGGCCGTGACCTTTACCCCCCAAAGAGACTTAGATCGTATATCCAGGATGAGTGACGGCAATCAAGATGACATGTATATAGTATGGATTTAGAACGAGGCGAGCTGTAATCTCGTTCCATTTATCAAAGCAATAAAAAAGATTTAAGGTTTATAAGAATTCATTCTGACTTACGTTCAAATCCCCCGGGAGCTTAGCGGCTAATTGTTCGACGTACTCATAGATTTTCGGATGTCTGTACAGGTTGGTCGTATGCCACAATACATCGAGTTGATCTTTGAGGGCTGCATTTACTTTCCTGCAAATGCGGTAAAATAATAAAATTGTGGGACCATTTTTAAAAGAGCCTTAGGTTCCTCTCGATGCTTTCAACTTGGTCTAGTTTGGCCCCAGTCCAGATTGTTTGGTTCTATGTAGAAACAGGTGTTTTTTGTGTCGCTATTGCCACTGTAGGCACTGTACTTTCGATTGAAAAAACGTTACCTAACATGATCCCAGAGGTCTTTCGAGATTAGTAACTCTTCATTTTGGGAGCTGACGTAATTTAACATAGCTAAATTGGTACTTGGAATATTAATAAAGGTCTCTGTTTTTTTTTATTCCCTTTGTAGGCAGACAAGCATACGGCCTACCTGATTGTGAGGGTTTACCGTCACCCACGGACTTCAGCAATACCAGGGGCAGAGCCAAGCCGCTGCCTATTGCTTTTATTAGGTTGGATGTTACGGAATCTTTGAAAGTCATCTTCACCGACTTTGAGACGGGCAATTAACTTGAAAACTGCACACGCATTAAGGACCCATGGCAGATATCATAATTTTATCATTCCGTCCAATATTCTGACCGGTATCGAAAGGATATAAAAATGTAATACGCATCTTTAGTTCGGTTTGAACTTTGAGCGTGTTTTTTTATGTTTTTAAAACTACATACATATTATTATGTACATGTGGAATCGGGACCGCGGCACATAAAATAAGATTATTCCATTGTTGCACTTTTATTGTTCTGTTCTCAAATCTTCTATAATATAATAATAAAAAAATATCTGACACCTTTTTTACGCTTTGCTCATTCAATCGCCATCTTCTTTTCTCTGTCATGCTCTTTTCCCTTTCTTATCGTTTTCTCTCACTCACATCTTAACGCTACGTTCCACACTCTTTTCGTGCATACCGTTCTTACGAATCCTACATACATATGAGTCGTCTATTATCAAAGGTGGCAATCTGTGCATTTGGACAAAAACTTTTTATTGATATGTCAATACAGATTGATTTGAATATAATCGTCTCCTTCAAAGAATATGGTTCAAAACCTGCATTAAATAAAGGTTAATAGTTAACCTGTTATTTATCTAAGATGTCGTTCAGAAGAGTTTTGTGACTGCCAATGGAATACAAAGTCAATAATTCGTTTTTCTGATTTACCAATAATTGTCCAAAAGTCANATTTGAATATAATCGTCTCCTTCAAAGAATATGGTTCAAAACCTGCATTAAATAAAGGTTAATAGTTAACCTGTTATTTATCTAAGATGTCGTTCAGAAGAGTTTTGTGACTGCCAATGGAATACAAAGTCAATAATTCGTTTTTCTGATTTACCAATAATTGTCCAAAAGTCACATTGCCGGCTTTGATAATAGTCGACTCATATATGTGAAAGTGGTTGACAGTTTTGATTCCGTTCTTGGGGCTGTTATTAGTTATTGTACTCACGGATGACAATGGCCCACGGAGACGGTGACGATTCCACCGAACAGATCCAGGTATCTCTTGCCGTCGTTGTCGTATAACCACTGCATGTGGCCCTGGGTGAGAAGCACCGGCTTCTTATAGGCGTTCGTGATTGAAGGCGGCATGTAAACTCCTTTCATTTGTTCTACTTGTTGGTACGAAGGTCCCTGCGTTTACAACCATAAATAGAAAAAAAAGTTGATAAATATAGACAATTTTTAAATACATCTTTAAAAATTTATATCGACGGGAGAATGCGGAAAGGTCATAACTTACATTTTGGGCTAAATCACTTTTTACCATATTATATTTGATGTAAATAATAATAATAATAATTGCATTTATTTACTCCACAACACAAATACAAATAAATTTTCAATTAATATAACATAAAAATTCTAATTCTAAACAATATTACAATATATTATACTAACATATATATACGGCTCTGGTGTCTGGTGTAATTTTGGGTTTTTCAAGTTACGACAATTCCGATTTCTTTCTTTAATTTTATACACCAGAGGGCCCAATCCATCGAGATGATCAGACCAAATCCTGTCTGGACTTAAAGTTCCACGATGCCCTCAAGAAGGCAAAATATCGCAGCAGATGGAGAATAATTGCGCATGAGAGAATGATGCAGCGTGGGAGTGACGACCCTCATTAATGAGGAGAGCGACTAAGAAATACATCTTTAATTTGTATTCGTACAGGATAAATTACGTAATTTGTTATTTATGTTTTAAGATTCACTTGAACCTCGTTACGACTAAAAACGCTACCATTACTCAGTTCCATTATTTTTGCGTTAAGAAAAAAAATACACTTGCAAATCGATATAGCTTTCTTTGTTGTTAATAAAATATTAAAAATACTTTACCGTGTACGGTCTGGGCACGAAATCCGTCGGCGGCATTTTGACCGTGCTGTACGTTCTGACGACATCGAAGCATAATTTTGTTCCTAAAATGAATTTTTTTCAGTAAAATATTTTTTATTTTTTTTTATTTCAGCTGATTTCGTAGATCGTGGCTTTTTGCACACAAACCTATTACATAACTATACTTAGAACAAATGTTTTACCATCCGTCAAATCACACTGTACCATTACAGTGTGATTTGACGGACGGTAAAAGCGTGACGGCGAGAGTCATGGCCATCCATGAGCTTTTATTAGCTTGATATAAAAATATAGCATTAAATATGTAGCTTGCTTTACTGTTAAGACGTTTATTTTATTTTATTTTGTTGTTTAATTTTAACAGCACTATTTTCTGATCTTTACGAGAACGATAACTACTCGATACGTCGAAAATGTTTTAATGAAAGTAAATTAATAAATTAAAAGTAGTTTTAATTGTGTCTATGTTGCCAAATCCTTCGGACGTTTTGTGATGCGTTAAAATAAATGCATTTTAAAAGCAGCATACAAACAATGCTACTCTGAAAAAAGCACCCAAGCATATACGAAGTCTTTCTGAATTTAAATTTGAATAATTTATTATATATTTATTTATATTTATTATTAAGAATTATATTTGATTCATTTATAAAATAGGAAATGGATTTTGAAATATTGAAATCGATTTTTATAGATTTTTTTATTCTGGGAAGAATTTGTCCCCTTCATTTTATAAACGAGCCTCTTTGAGGGTTCGATCAGCAAAATACCTTTTCAATTATATGGTAATTCTTGGCGACTCGCGAGTTTTTCTATTACGTCCCATAAAACTTAAATTCCATCTAGGCAATCATAAAATTATAGGAATCAACAAATATTAGAAGAAAACGTGATATAATATAAGTAATATTGATAACGATATATTCTTCGGTAATAATTTAATATAAATATAAATTAAGGAAATATGAAGAAAAAAAGTTTCAATATCAAATAAAATTAAGAAATACAATAAAAAAAAAAAAAAATGAAAACTATGATACACTAAAGCATAACGAAAAAAAAAACTTGAGTTGGGTTTTTTAATTACTTACCTCTATTAGCCATTTCGATGTGTTTCTCTGTTGAGGCGATTGCAATATGTCACACTAGAACTGCCCTACTCGTTCTGAACGATGCGACGCGGGAATTTCACTTTTGTTGCCATTAATCTCTAGTTTGATTAACATTAAGGCAGTTTAATATTTGTCCATTATTTAAGTGATACGTACATTTTTCTTTGTACTAGTTCTTTGCCCGCAGCTTTGCTCGCGTGGTCGCCACTAGTTTTCGCATGTGTTCAGTAGTGAGTTGAAAAGGTAGGCTAAGTTCTGTCCCAAGTTTCAAACTATATCATACATATATACTAAAAAAAATAAAAAAATTGCTTAGGTGGGTGGACGAGCTCACAGCCCACCTGGTGTTAAGTGGTTACTAGAGCCCATACACATCTACAACGTAAATGCGACACCCACCTTGAGACATAAGTTCTAAGGTCTCAGGTATAGTTACAGCGGCTGCCCCACCCTTCAAACCGAAACGCATTACTGCTTCACGGCAGAAATAAGCAGGGTGATGGTACCTACCCGCGCAGACTCTCAAGAGGTCCTACCACCAGTAAATATACCTAGTCCAGCCATAAGTTCTGTTACAGAAAATGTTTTTTTTTTAATGAAGTAAAAATATTATTAAAATTTATACCTACACGTTTATAAAAGTCTCAGCAAAAAAAAAACTATTTGAAATGGCCACCTTTGGCTTTTACACAGGCCTTAATCTGTTTGGCCACGAATCAATGGATTTACGTATTGTTTCCAAGGGAAATTTCGCCACTGCTTGCTCCAAAGATTTTTTAAGATACTCAATGTCGCCGTGTCGCTTAGAACAGACTATGTCCTCTAAAACTGACCATAATTTGAAGTTTAAAGGGTTGGAGGTCTGGGCTAGATCAGGGCCAGTCTTCAGCTCTTATAAGTCCGGAAGGTAGGGTTCGTGGAATGTGACTCCTTGATATGACACGCCCCACCAAACCATCACTGACGCAGGATGATGACCACGTTGTACCTTTCCGACCACTTGAGCAGCTTCTTTAGAACTGTGAGCGTACTTTTTATCATTTTTCTTATTTGTAGTGTATTTATAATCGTAATTTTTTTTTAATCGGTAAAGCGGAATTTTCTGTGCGGATGACAGTGCGTGATTAATTCCATGTTAATAGTTTCGGGGATGTGCCCAAATAAACATACAAACAGGTAGAAATTAACTCATGAAAAAAAAAAAAACTAATGCTTTACGCGAAGCAGTGAACGGACCTTAACAACAATTAATGTATTACAAACGGGAGCGCAACAACTTAGCATTTATGTTTTAAATCGCTTTAATCGTGACACAGTGATAAGTTTTATGAACGCCCTGAGAGCTGAGATTCGGTAAGGTAATAACATTTTTATATTTGATAAGGTAGAATTCGCGTGGAGTGGCTCGAAGGCCTTTCCAGTCACACAAAGACCTGAGTGTGAGTGAGGTGAGTGAGCCTGGGCCCAACAGGACGGGGGAAACCGTAAAGTCTTTCCATATACATTTTTACCTGGAGCCACTGCGGTCATCCACAGTGCTTTTTCAGAGGTATTTTTTGCCACGTACCATCCGGCTATGGAATGAGCTCCCCTCCACGGTGTTTCCCGAGCGCTATGACATGTCCTTCTTCAAACGAGGCTTGTGGAGAGTATTAAGCGGTAGGCAGCGGCTTGGCTCTGCCCCTGGCATTGCTGAAGTCCATGGGCGACGGTAACCACTCACCATCAGGTGGGCCGTATGTTCGTCTGCCTACAACGACAAAAAAAAAAAAATATATATATGGCACGTTGAATGCAAATTAGCAAGAGGACATGTTGCTCTGACCCCACATAATGTATGATAAGGGCAAGAGAAGAAAAAGAAAAGTTATCCTGTCGCGAAGCAGCCAAGAATGGATATCCGCTAAGCTACCTAATCCGGATTGCTCATCTAGAGCAATAAAAATAATGCTCACAGTAAATACTACTCGGTATTATGACTTCGTGTATGATATCGTTAATACGGGGCGTAGTGCCAACCTTAACAAATATTTTTTATGGTGACAAGAAAACTTCAGTAGATCGGTTTTCTTTAGAAATAAACACACAACAAATGAAATGCTTGTTGTACTTTTATTTGATTTCAAAGTATAGTTATTACTGGTGGTAGGATGTCTTGTGAGTCCACACGCGTAGGTACCACCACCCTGTCTATTTCTGCCGTGAAGCAGTAATGCGTTTCGGTTTGAGGGGCGATGCAGCCGTTGTACTGTTAAAAATGAGACCTTACAACTATGTGTCAAGGGGGGTGGCGGCATTTACGTTGTAGATTTCTATGGGCTCCGGTAACCAATTAATATCAGGTGGGCCGTGAGCTCGGTCACCCACCTAAGTTGCAGTGCAAGAGTATTGCATTGGATTAGGTGCATTTGTGCATTGCTCGATTTTGCAAAAAAATCCAATTATTAAATAAATACTTCAAATAAAAAACGTAGAAAGATGAAATAAAATTTATTTATTTAAAATTTTAATCCATTGAAACGAATTAAAGGGAATCAAATATCGAAAAAAGAAAATAATGTCTCAGTAAAATTGTGAGAATTCCATAAGAATTTATTACAGTGTTTTTTTTGGAGGAGCTTCGACCAGCGACCTTGTTTCATTTTTCCACACTTATGCACTTTCACAGATGCTGAACGTTTAATAAAGTACTATTTTTAGACGCTTAAACCTGAAGAATCACTAAACTTAACAAATTATAAAAATCATCTAAAGTTCGCTCCACAGCGTTTCCGCCAAAATCTCAGTAATCCGTTTCAAAACAATTATCATTTCTTGGTGACCTTCTTAATGGCGTCGTCGATTACCGAAATACCAAAATCAACGTCTGCCTTCGTGATGCACATCGGCGGCTTCATTCTGAACACCTGCAACAATTGACAACCGTTATTATTCATAACTAGCGACCCGCCCTCGCTTCGCTTCGGAAACATTAAATTTTATTATTGATAGCTGAGTCCCGCGATGTTACGCGGGACGCCGCGGGGCGAAGCTAGCCTAAAAACCTACCAGTGAAAATCTCCTCAAAATCGGTCCAGCCGTTCCAGAGATTAGCCGGAACAAACAGAACGACAGACAGACAGACAAAAATTGTAAAAAATGTTATTTTGGTGTATGTACCGTATATATAAATTCATATGCATGTAGTAAGTAAGTAAAAAGCGGTTATTTCAATATTACAAACAGACACTTTTTTTATACGTATAGATTTCATTTAATCGGTCATAAAGCTAGTGGGAGAGTGACAAAACGAATAAATATAATTGAATGAAAAAAAAAAAAAAATTATATTCCACTGAATTTTGATTCGAAATCGTTTCTCATTCTAATTACTGGAGATTGAGAGACAGATAATAATGATATAGGTATGGATGGTATTATTTAATTATCAAACACCCAAAACTCACATTACTCCACCGTCCGCCAAGTACAACTAGAACTCCATTGTCTTTAATCTCTTCGTGTATATCTTTCACAAGGGACACCGGCAGGGGTTTCTTAGTGCCAGGCTCGACCAGCTCGACCCCGATCATGAGGCCCTGTCCTCTCACATCGCCAATCACTGGATGCTGCTTCTGTAGCTCCATCAACTGCCTGATGAAGTATTCGCCAACAGTTTTGCTGTTCTTTTGAAGTTCTTCCTCGTCAATAACCTAAAAAACCAATTTGCCTGATCACAATTTCGGTATCGCTCACAAAACATTTAACGGTGAAAGGCGATTGCATGCAGCAGAGATGCGAATGTTGCGATGGATGTGTGGAGTAACGAGAATGGATGACGGAATGAATATGTTAGAGGAAGTCTGCAAGTGGCACCTGTGACAGAGAAGCTGAGAAGTGCGCGTTTGGGATGGTATAGACATGTGATGAGACGAAATGAAAATGAAGTTGGTAAGAGAATGTTAACTAAGAATATGGAAGGATATAGAGGAAGAGGTAGATCTAAGAAGAAATGGATGGATTACGTGAAAGACGATATGGGTAAGAGGGGAGTGAGCGAGGAAATGGTATATGATAAAAGAGTATGGAAGGAGAAAGCATGTTGCGTCGACCCCAGGTAACTGGGAGAAGGGCAGGATAATGATGATGATTAATCCTGTATTGAGTGCATATAAGAGTTCATAGACATCGTAACATGAATATAATACGTTAATTTTAAATGCATTTACATCTAAAACGGCCTTTCCAACTGTTGCGGCCAAAGCGTTTCCTCCAAAAGTGTTGAAATACGATTTTCCGCTGTGGGCGGCTGCTATCTCTTTAGTGGTGACGACAGCGGCCAGAGGGAAACCGTTGCCGATCCCCTTGGCCATCGTCACGATATCAGGCCTCACGCCGTGCGTCTCAAAGCCCCAGTAGTGGTCTCCGGTACGACCGAAACCCGTCTGGACCTAGAAGAAGTTAAATATTTGTATTACGAAACTTATTAATCTCTAATGTAATTTGAACTAAGTTTTGAGGGCAGGAAATTTAATTTAGAATTTTTTTAGGATTTCCTTCCAGAGCATATAAGTTTACAGTGCGACTGATGATGGATGGTTACGGTCGTTCTGGATGTCAGCAATTCTAGGGGCACAGGAAGGACCGTTGCTTACAGCTGACAACTCATTTAAAATTCGTTTTAAAAGGATGCTGACCATTCCAGGTCCAGTTGATACGTGACAAAAATGATCTCTGGAAAAACTTTGTGGACGAGCCAAACTTCCATGTAGACTTATACCACATTACAGCGTTCTCTGGTCTAAGTCTTTCTAAAAAGTTCTTTGTTTAGGTTCTACCTCACCTCATCAGCTACATACAAGCCGCCATTCTTCCGAATCAACTCTTGAGCTCTCTTCAGGTATCCCTTAGGGAACTGCACCACTCCACCGGCACCCTGGATAGATTCCGCGAAGAACGCTGCTACTCTGCCGGCTGGTACAGAATTACCTAGGAGCTGTCGTTAAAAAACAATATGTATCTATCTATTCAAAGACTTTTCAGTATCATACAGTATCGTGTATTTCAGTAATAATACACGAGAGTGGCCGCTTAATGTGATCAGTGAAATTAATAAATTAGGGTCACCACTTAGTGTTAAGTAATCACCGGGATCCATAGGTATCAGAACGCAGATGCCGTCACCCAGCTTGAGAAACGTGTCCAAGCAAGCTTATATTGCACAACCATTGTCTAAGCCTTCGTATCGGAACGCATGTCTGCTTCAGAGTGGTGGAACCTCCGCATGCGATTATACAATACGCCCCACCACCAGTAATTCTGCAAATTGATATATGTATTTCGCACTATTAATTTTTGTAATGTTAATTATTTATCCGTTCGTCTTGGAATTTGTAAATAGGGATGTTCTTAGAAAAAAATCATCTCTGTTTGCAGGATTTTAGTACAGGGATAGTCGCAACGTGACTGGCGCTCGTCCGAGCGTGTGTCTGTGTGTGATAGTGCTGACTTAGGGTACTAGTGATATGATATGTAACTATACTGAGACCTTAGAACTTATATCTCACGGTGGGTGGCGCATTTACGTTGTAGATATCTATGGGCTCTAGTAATCACTTAACACTGGGCTGTGAGCTCGTCCACCCATTTAAGCAATAAAAAAATAAATATGACATAATAATGTAGTATGTATAGTGACGTATAGTGTTTTTTTTCCATTATGACTTTCATATTTTTATTCAGTTTTACCAGACTTATATTGATTGAAGTTTTTTTTGTACTAAATTTAAATAATAACATTGATATCAACTGAACTTGACGTATGACTGACATTGACCTGAACTCTGTACAAAAATATGTATAAGCAGATAGTACGTCACGTTCAAAGATTAGAGAGCGGTGATAATTTATAAAATAATAGTTTAAAAAAACTAACAAAATACGCTTTTATAGAAAATCCAACAAAAAAATAGAAAATAAATTTTAATAAATTTGAATTAAAAATAGTGTAAGAAAAAATGATTTTATTGTATCATCCTGTTTATTTCTGCCGTGAAACAGTAATACCTTTGGATTTGAAGAGTACGGCAACCACATGTACTTTAAAAACTGAGAATTCGAACGTCTCAAGCTGTATGGGGGGCATTTACGTTGTTGATGTAACGGCTCCGGTAATCACATGATAAGTGGGCTGTGAGCTCGTCCCCAATCCAAGCACAAAAAACTAAGAATACACTACAAGCAATTACATCCATATGGTACTTCGATCAACAGTTACTATTGTTGATCGAAGATATGGTATCACTATTGTGCCCGCCTCCAACCATTCACGTGTTTGAAGGGCAGCTGTCATTGAGACATCAATTTTCTACCCACAATTTCCAATAAAACTCATCCAGTTGTATGTACCTATGCTCCGGTAATGGAGTTTGTTTTATAAAAAAAAGGAACTTAACTGACCTCGTCGAGTTGATGAATGTATTTTTCGGTGCTAACGCATTCGCCGGGACACGAGCACGCGCCGGCCACCTGCGAAATGGAGTCTCTGCAGCCGCCCCAGCTCCCTCGGTACGGATCTGGATGTGCAGCCTGCATGGTGAACATTTTATAGATATTTTATTTCTTTTATTGGCTTAGACTAAACTTTCCCAAAGTGGGCGATAACGCCCCCTTGTGGGCGCTGTAGGCCTAAAGGGGGGCGGTAAGAGACTCAGAAAAAAATGGCGACGTTGTGTAGAGGCTTGGGAGGCGATTTGTAATTTCATCTAGGAAGACTCTTAGACACCGACTGATAAGCTCATTAATTAACTCACGTGATAAAATCCCGGCGGTACGGGGAGGTTCATTCTGTACGACTGTGTGGCAGATAGCCCCATGAGGCTGCTGTTGTATCCGTGATAGCTGGTCTGGAGCGATATCACGTCCAAGTTACCCGTGTACGCCTTCGCCAGGATGGTGGCCAGGTCGTTTGCTTCTGTTCCACTGTTCACTAAGTAGACGACCTAAAATGGTGGTTATTTGGTTGAGAACTTCAGACCCTCTTTAGTAAATTGTAAGTGTGGTTTTTTTTGTTAATGATTATTACTGTTAATCACAATGATACGAATCCAGTGGTATCATAAAAATGAAAGGGATACGCTCAATATTTATTGGGATAAATGAACAGGTAAGCTCTCGAGCCATCGGGAACCGTATAGATGACGCCTAATTTCCACCAACCACTCTGAGACACCTTTAATAATGAGGTGGAACTTTCGTTACCGGTGTAATACCTTACAGGCGAAGAAACCACCTACTCGCCCATCATTATAATTAGAGAGCAGGAAACAGAATTAAGATCAGAAGAGAAAGTAGCTGAAGAACGAACACCGTTTGTTTTTAAAACTTCATCTCCTTTTTATTAATATCACCATAAAAGCCATTACAGCTTCTAGAAGGTGATTGTTTCTGCTCGTATGCAAAAACAATTTCAGATTTTCAAGGACTTTAAATTTGAGCTTTAATTTTGGCTTCAATGTTAATAGTACAATTTTACTTATGTGACGTTTGTCAGTCGTTATTCAAGTACGCTTGTGTACAGTAGGTCTATTGACGCTTCGTGCGAAAGAGATGACGCTCTACGAAGCCGAAATTCGTCGATTGTCTCTTTCCAACGGCCGATGTCCAATATTTATCGCCGGGTACTGTACCAGTTTTCGTCGAGACTGTCAGAGTCGGTACGTCAGAACTTACGTTAAGATCATCGGGTAATTTAGACGACAATTTCTCTATGTATTCATATATTCTTGGATGCCGGTACAAGTTCGTCGTGTGCCATATTAAATCGATTTGTTCTTTGAGAGCTGCGTTTAGCTTCCTGTAATAATTAATAAGGCAACTCATTTTTTGACAGTTCTAATAATGCTAATAAGAGAGAAACGATAACATACATGTTTAGGTGGCACTGTTTAGTTGTTAGGTAGGTACTTAACTTTGGGTAATTAACTTTTCAATATCTTTAGTCAGGTACAAAACTCTGATGACTAAATTAAACTATTTAATATTCATAAACACTAAATAAAAGTTCTTTTCAATTCAACAAATTTAAATCTCACAAAAGCATTGTGACAACCCAGATTTGTTCCTAAACTACCCCTAGTCCATATTCCCCCCAATCTATGGTACTTACGGATGACTATTTCCCACTGAGACAGTAACGACTCCCCCAAACAGGTCCAAGTATCTTTTGCCCTCGTGATCGAAGAGCCACTGCATGTGACCCTGGTGTAATAGCACCGGTTTCTTGTAAGAATTAGGTATCGCTGGCGGCATATGTTTCGACTTCAAATGTTCCAGTTGTTCGTATGTTGGGCCCTGGGTGGATAAATTATTTGTGATGTTTAATCTATACTAACATATAAATCTACAGTGGTTTTTACGGATGTTCCGTTATAACTACTGAACCATGCATCCGATTGACTTAAAACTTGGTATCCATGTAGAAAATACATGTAGTTAATGGATAGGCTAATATTTATATGAGTGTTGGACTCCCTACACCGGTTGCGGGGGCGTTAATAATGAGAATCTTTGTGGGGGTGAAAAATAATAATGTTGATTTTAAATGCTCAGCGAAGCGGACGGGTAGTATGATAATAAAACTAATATTTTGATGCCGAGTTCAACTAATTAACAGTTAAATTTTTTGGTAAGAGAAGATAAGGCACTAAATGGTACGATGAAGTTCATTTTTGTATAATAATACTGTTACAAACGGCGGTTGATACAGTTACGAGTGGCGTAGCTGTATCAACTGACCCTCGTGGCAAATTCATTGGATGGGGCCCCAGTAAAGACGGTCACAGAACAGTTTAATTGACATAAATCACTAAAGTTAAAATGGATTAGTTTTTTCGTGGTCAATGTTTTCTGCTCACGCGTAATCATTTGTCGTGCCATTCTCTTGTTAAAGACAGTAAAGCCCTAATCTGTAGTTGATCCTCCTACAGTTTGTTCTAACAGATTGCTGCTTTTTCAATTTACGTTATTTCCTTACTTAGTCTAGTCGAGTAAATATCCTAAGCACCTCTTGTTAAGTGACCATCATAACCGGTGTAAGTTATCTAAGTCCTAATTGTGTAGTATGACGGTTGCCCCATTCCAAAAACCTAAAGCATTACTAATTCGCGGCGAAAATAGGAAAGGTGTTGTTGTGTCAAAGCATAAGGAACTTTAACATGGCTCACCACCTGTATTAACGTAAATTTTATTTTTTACGGGTTTAATTTGTCCCTTCTGTGTGGAAGTAATTCTTGAAATACTAAAATAGTACATATTTCATTAAGAAATTGGTACTTGCTTGTGGGATGTCGACTCCTTCGATACGATTACACCTGGCGTCCTATCCTATAGGCCACGATGACCTCAAAATTTAAAGTCTAAATATGAGTAGAAGCAAAAAAACTAAAAATGTATGTACGGTGCGTGCCCGTTGTTGATTTTGGAATTTTTGTGGGTGCCGTGAAATCAGAAACCGCGTTGTTTTTATTAGTTATATATAGGTAAATAAAAACTTACCTTGTACTCTTTGGGTGTAAACCCGGTGGAGGGCATTTTAGCCGTACTATACGCCCTTCCAACCACATTGCACAGTCTTCCTGAAATATAAATATTATTCAAAATAATTTAGTGTCCTATCACAAATTTCACATAATATAGCAAGTATTCCAAACTTGTTTCACACTTTCTGGTTATATCGTTTACGGTCACATCCTACTACAGCACGGATGCTATCACTCCCTGAGACAGAGATCGAAGTCTAGAACATGTGCCATATCTCAAGCCAGGAGTCTTCATTAGTGGCGACAGAAAAGAAGACGTTGGCACCAAAATGGCCGGGATCACATGCACTCTATAGCAACGCAAAAATCCTCGATTCTTCTAAGGAGGATTTCGGGACAATCGGCCCAATCACTCAAACTACGAGTAAGTACTCGCTGATAGCTTGGCCGGCAGCTTTGCACAGATGGTAGGACCGATTGAAGCGTTTCAGTCCCGTACTCCATGACTATATAAAAAACTGTACAAGTTCAAAAATTTATAATGGAAAGAGTATTCTTCGGTGAGAGGCGTACGCGGAAGTTTTAATGCTCAGTTTAACAAAGCCTTTTCACACGCACGTTCATACAAATCAAAGCACTTCATCTTCACATAAAACGTCTTTATCTATAGTATTCAATACGGATGAAGTAGTACCTCTGTTGGCCATTTAAACAAAATGTGCTATCACTACCGTACAACGAATGATACTAATATACGACAGTTTTGCGTCGCCGACCTTTGACTCTAGTTTTAAATTAAAACAACAGTATAACGTTTGTTCGCAACTTCGATTGCGATTTTAAATTTATTTAAGATTTAATTACGTTTTTCTCTGAATCATGACGTAGTTAACGTATTGACTAATTTGTACAATTTTACTGGTGGTAGGACCTCTTATGAGTCCGCGCGGGTGGGTACCACCGCCGTGCCTGTTTCTGCCGTGAAACAGTAATGCTTTTCGGTTTGAAGGGTGGGGCAGCCGTTTTAGCTATACCGAGATATTAGAACTTATATCTCAAGGTGGGTGGCGCATTTACGTTGTAGATGTCTATGGGCTCCAGTAACCACTTAACACCAGGTGGGCTGTGAGCTCGTCCACCCATCTTAGCAATAAAAATTAAATAAAAAAAATTGTTATAATTTAAGTGAATTTTATGAATTCTACACGCTCATAGTCAAATTTTAGTTTGTTGGATTGGCGAACTCAGTGTGCTTAGTGCGAGTTTTTTAACGTTCTCGATAGCGTAAAAGTTAACTCAAATTTGTATGGAGTTGGAACGTTTGCCTACGTTTGACATCCAGATTTGAGTTAAGTTTTACGCTAACGAGAACGTTAAAAAACTCACAATAAGCACACTGGAGTTCATAGATGACAGAACGAGAATACCACCACGAATCTGACATGAAGTCAAAAACTCTATTGTATGATAATATAATTTATATATACAATTATAGAGAACTGTCTCATTTAGGGGACTAATTGAAAACCTTTCCAGCTTTATACACATACCTAAGCAGTAGGTACATTACAACTTAAAAAGCCACAAAAATAGCGCTAGCATATCAAGTTGTATGATATCGTATAAGTTAGAAACGAAATGAAGTGTGCCTAGTTAATAAAAAAAACCTAATAAAATGACATTTGACGCCATCTTTGAAATTACATTACTTGCTACGGTGACGTCGCCCTAGATGGTCGCTTTTACCTCTATCCTCTGTTTTTTTTGTACAACGGTTCTCCCGCTCGTCGATTCAGCACGCACAGCATGACGTGTTGGGACACACACGGACTGCTGGCGACGTGAAGAATCGCAGTTTAAGCATTTATTTGCCCCCGCTCGCCAGTCACTCCGCCAAAGTCAAACGGAATAGACGAGTACACATACTCACTCCGCGATCACGGTTCCAACACACACGGTGACAGAGAACTTACTCAAGGCTCCCAAAAATCACCCCCCTCAAATTGATTGTGGTACAATATGACAACACAAAATATGGACGATTAGAGCACTTCGATAAATAAATATACGCCTCAGTTTGGTTAGACGAGTTTTAAATGAACACACAATCACATCCTCAACTTTGGTATCAATATCGAATTATAATACCAACACCAGGATATTAACACGTGTAAGGGATTCTCGAATTTCAATAATTGGATAGCACTAGTCTAATTATTTGTAGAAATTTTATTTATTAATACACATAATTAGATTGTATATTGTAGCATGTACCTGACAGACTCATTTAATTTTCTATATAAACGTTATAACGTAATTGCTATGGCAATAAGATAAAATTATCGGAAACACGTTATTTGTCTAACTATATTAATAATTTTTATTTAATGTAGATAGTCAGATTCAATGTTGCGTGATTTGATTAGGTTAAAATTTCGTAAACAGACTTCGTGACCTCACAAACCTAAGACGATAGCACGTGCGTTGCTTGAGATCCACATATCATCCACATATCGCACACAGAGATCCACACGGATGGATTCAGAGTACACGTGTAATATTGACAGTAGAAAGGAAAATGTAATTAATTCAATTACTTTGCAATAATTTGCTTGTCTCATTATGCTAGTGGCTAACAGCTGATGATCTCGTTCGATTTCCGGTCGGAGCCGGTTGATTCTTAATGATATTGTCATTCACAGTCTGTATCTTCAAACCAGGCATTACTGGTAATCGCATTAATAAAATCAATACTATTAGGTGGAAATGTTAGGATAGCTTCATACGGGAACATCACCCGTTCAGTCTCATTCACACTCCTAGATCCAAGGTATTGGAGCCTCAATAAATCATCACTTCTACATAGTTTCCTTTCACTAAATTGTAAGTCTACTAATTTTGAAGTCGTCGTGGCCTAAAGGATAAGACGTCCGGTGCATTCGTATGTAGCGATGCACCGGTGTTCGAATCCCGCAGGCGGGTACCAATTTTTCTAATGAAATACGTACTCAACAAATGTTCACGATTGACTTCCACGGTGTAGGAATAACATCGTGTAATAAAAAACAAACCTGCAAAATTATAATTTGCGTAATCACTGGTGGTAGGATCTCTTGGGAGTCCGCACGGGTAGGTACCACCACCCCGCCTATTTCCGCCGTGAAGCAGTAAATGCAGTAATGCGTTTCGGTTCGAAGGGTGGGGTAGCCGTTGTAACTATACTGAGACCTTAGAACTTGTATCTCGAGGTAAGTGGCGCATTTACGTTGTAGATGTCTATGGGCTCCAGTAACCACTTAACACCAGGTGGGCTGTGAGCTCGTCCATCCATCTAAGCAATAAAAAAAAAGTCTCTAAGTCATCATCATCTTAGGCCCTTATAGCCCAGAGTGAGTCTTTGCTTGGTCCCGTATCTCAAATGGACACACAATTTTATTTGCTATAACAGCCGCCTAATGATCGCAAATATTGAAAGGAACACGGATTTTCGATGTACCTATTTGAATTCGTTAGACAGCAGTGAGCGCTAACGTTTAAATCGGTTAAAATAGGTAAATGCCATTGAAGGAATATCTTTTTAAACATAATTCTACTGTACGTGTGTAGTATGTCACCAAACTCCCGATGGTACCTTGGATGGTTTATATTCACAAATCAGCCTGGCAGATGGCGCTGCAGTTAGTATCTAGGTTATTTATCTACATTGCAACTAAACCACTGAAGTAGGAAACCTAGGTCTATGAACTAAACGGCTGCATTGACTTGAATGAATTTTTGTGTATGAATTCATTCATTCATTCATTTCATTAATTTTGTGTATGCAGGACGTCTGTCAGGTCCGGTAGTAAACTATAAAATTATTAATTTGGTTTTCGCGGTTACTTGGTTATGTTGTACAAAATCATCGCTGGAAATGAACCAATTCAAATACCGTGTATCTTTGTTACTTAACTATTTTATAGGCTATTCACATATTTGCACTCCACACTTCGTTACTTGAGAATTTATGATTTCCATCTGACCTATTCCATTACCAAATACTGTATAAGTTTTGTAAAAATAACGTAATGCATTTATTCGCTGTTTAATTGTTCCTTTACTTTTGTATAATACAATTTACGGTTTTCGAATTATAATGCACGATGTTACTTTTTATCATAATTCGCAAACATGTGATTGGGTAATTTTTTTTTAATTAACAAATCGCGCACGCTAATTCGGTTCAAAATTACGAATGCGATACCCTGTGCTATGAGTACCAGTGTCAGACATGCGTACTTAAATACGTTTTAAATATACATATACGTATAGATAATAAACACCCAGATAAAGAGCAAACAAACCTGTATATCGCACGAATTTTGGGCCGACGTGGTAATTGAACCCACGACCCTCGGTGTAACAGTCAGAACCGCTAACTATTACAGTTACACCATCGAGTTAGTTGAGGTTAGGGAATTACCTACTTCCTTAAATAAATTGGTACTCGCATATAGTATCTGAATAACGACATAGTAAAGTCGCTCCATCTTATCGTGTGTAGCCACTACGTTACAAACAATATCGTATTTAGATTAGAGCTTGGGTCTTGCAGGTGACAAAACGAGGTAAATATTAAAAACAAATTAAAAAATTGTAACGTTCTTTATTTATTAAATAATGCTCACAGTCGCACACGTTGTTATACGCACAGCTCTCAAAATTGTTCCATAAGTTAGCTCACACAACACAACACCACTTACAATCACACAGTCTGTCGTTAAGAAATCCATGGCTGACATATCAATAGGCGTGCAACTGTCAAAATACTTTTTTCGTAATAAAATGTCACAAATGTCACAAAAAAAAACAAATGCAAAGAAACTAATTTTATACAGCCAAAGTGTCAGAAATAATACAAAAATCAAATATTAAACTATTTATTTTAAAAAACTTAATGAGGTAAGCATGATTGCAGGCCTATTTTTATTTCAGTCATTTCGCACACACTCGTATGAACAACCGGTTTGTGCTTGATGTCTCTCTTAATCATAACTTCAAACGACTTCTTAGTCGTCGCCTGCTGATCTCTTTGCTTTCCTTGCGCGC